GCTCACCACCAGCCCTTTTGCTACAAGCTCCTCCATTATTGAGCTATTTGGTTAGACTCTCCTATCAAAAGGTTTCCTTAAGAAGGGCTGGCAGGTGTTGTATTCCCTGAGCTCTTGTTTGCTGGAGTGCTTGACATTATATTTGACCACGTGGCTGGCAATCATATCCTCAGTCACTCTTTTTCCTACTTAGAATTTTGGAGAGAGACACCTGGGTGACTCTGGTTGAGCGTCTGCCTTCAGCTCAGGTCGTGATCCCAGGGTCCTGGGATCCAGCCCTGCATTGAGCTCCCTGCGGGGAGCCTGCTTCTCCCTCTGCCTGTGTCTCTGCCTTTCTCTGTGTGTCTCTCATGAATAAATAAATAAAATCTTAAAAAAATTTTTTGGAGACATTTATCTATTACCTCCTGGCACTGCTACCTTCTACCATCTTGTGGTAGCGAAGTTTAACACCTTTGATGATTTGCTTTCTCTGCTTCATTTTTTTTCATTCTTGAAGTTCATTAACTCCATCAGGTTATGTTTCGGTGTCCAGTGCTTTCTATCAGATTTCCTAGGATATAAGACTTGCTTTCAATCTGAATATTCATTCCTTCATTTCAGGAGAACTTTCCTGTATTAAATCTTTCAGTACTTTTTTCAGCAAGAAAAGGTCACCAATTATGCATATATATGCTAGCGTAGCTTTGTCTTCCTACAATTATCCTCTCAAGAATTACTTTGGTCTTTGCAGCCCTCTCAAGCCTTTTCTTCTTTGTATCCCATTTTCAACATGTTTCTCGCTATTTCTAATTCACTTATTTGTTCTAGAATAGTGTTATTCTGGCCAAGTTGTTTTCTTAGCTCTGCAATCTGCCTTTTTATTTCATTCTGTTGTTTAATCAGCTCATATGTCAGCACTCGTCTTATTGAATTCATGTTCTTTTGAGAACACAGTATACCTATAGGAGCATTTGTTCTTTAGGTTAGCTTTTCTTCCCAGTTGGTTTCATCTGGTCCCCATGCCCTCCTTTTGCTGGCTGTGTATTTATGTAGTCACCGGGTCATTTTATTTAAATTTGCTCACATGTAAGGTGGCAGCTCCCTTCAGACCATTTGTTTGCTTTGATATATTGTTGGTGTATTTCCCTTGGCATGCTTCCCATCTTATCTGACAATTATTTCTTTTCTTCCGTGGGCTTCTGTTCTGTGTACTTTCTGGCATGACTGATACCAACGTACTTAATAACCGGCTGACACACTGAATAAGCAGAATGGAGGTTAGCCACAGCTCTGGGGCAGGAGCCCGAAGTCTCTGAGTGGGACCACCAATCATTGTCAGATTGTGAGGTGGTCCGGAATTGGGGGGGTTTCTTGTGAGAGGGACTGAGGTGGCCAGAGCAGTGTGCCACACCTCAGCTAGTGATCATTTACCATCGGGTATGCAAGGATTTTGATATTTTAATGACCAGCACAGCCTACCAGTGTGTACCAGCCAAACCAACCTGCTTGTCTGTCTGCATGTGGGAGAAAGGAGGAGCCGTGTATACACATTTTTGTTGGAGGGATTGGACTCTGCTCTGTCTTCTGATAGTTGTATCAAGTCCTGCACCAGGGTGAATTCCAAATGGAGAGGAGACATATCTACTATATTATGGGGAAGGAGACCTTTGGGATGTGGTATTTTCATCTTAATTCACAGATGGGCTGGTTGTTCCGGTCTCTTGTTCCACCCATCTCTCTCTAGCAACACCCTTCTCTTCCTCCTCTTCCAAGACACACACACACACACACACACCAGCCCCACTCAAAGAAGAGATGTCTACTCATCTTGACCCAACTTTTTTTTTTTACATTTGTTTTTATTGAAGTTCAATTTACCAACATGTAGCATAACACCCTGTGCTCATCCCATCAAGTGCCCTCCTCAGTGCCCATCACCCAGCTACCCCAACCCCCAGCCTACCTTCCCTTCCGCAACCGTTTCCCAGAGTTAACTGAGTCTCTTATGGTTTGTCTAATTTTTCCCTGTTTCCATCCTTTCCCTCATAATTCCTTCCACTATTTCTTATATTTCACATATGAGTGAAACCATATGATGACTGTCCTTCTCCGATTGACTTACTTCATTCACTCAGCATAATACCCTGCAGTTCCATCCACGTTGAAGCAAATGGTGGGTATTCGTCTCTTCTGGTGGCTGAGTAATATTCCACTGTATATAGAGACCACATCTTCTTTATTCATTCATCTGTCAAAGGACACTGAGGCTCATTCAACAGTTTGGCTATTGTGGACATTGTTGCTATGAACATTAGGGTGCAGGTGTCCCAGCGTTTCACTACACCTGTATCTTTGGGGGTAAATACCCAGCAGTGCAATTGCTGGTTGACCCAACGTTCTAATCAGTTTTTTCTAAAACTTGAGATTTTATTATTATTTTTTATTTTTATTTTTAAGTGGCAAAGAAGTTTGGACCTGGGCTTTCAGAGGTAGGTAGGCCATCAAAGGGTGGAAGTTCAGGAGGCTCACGGGTCTGGTGGGAGCTCAAGACCATGGCCCAGGTGAGTGACCTGCACCTCAAGTGTAATTTAAGGACTGTCTGCAAGGAGGCTCCTGATGGAGATGAATGAAGTTAGCATGCTTGCAGGAAAGGGAATAGAGTCAGGTCCAGATCAGGAGGAAGCAGGCAGAAAGTCACCCCATGTGCCCCAGTGATTCACAAAACTCAGGGGAAGGTTTGGTCAGTGACACATCACAGTCAAGGCAAAGGGGACAGTGGCTGTTGAAAGTGATCTCACGGAAAACCCTGAAGCAAGATTTGATTTTTAAAACCTCTGAAAACTTTTCCAACAACTTAGACTGTCAAGCCAAAGCAAAAAACCAAACAACAACAACAAAAAAACCCTGAAATTGGTCACACACTCAATGTGAGCAAAGATGTGACAACTCTGATGTGTGTGTGTGTGTGTGTGTGTGTGTGTGTGTGAGAGAAGATGCATATACACACGTGATGTGTGCTTGTATAAAAGATCTCGGACATCTAAACGATGCATATGAATGTAAGAACAAATAAAAACATCAACTCTAGGATGGTGCCATTCCTAATTGCTCTTTTGGTTTCTCCATCATGACCACTCAGCAGATTTTCTAGGTGAACTCATGTTATCATAGAATAATGGAACAGACAGAAAATGTTACCAATATTCAGATTCTGGAATAGCGAGCAGCAGACATAGCCTCACCTTAGCTGGTCCCTCATGATCACGAGGCTGCTCTACTCTCCTACCCACTGGAACTCAGGACAGATATTCAAACATGTTCTCTTTTTGAACACACCTTGGTTCATCCTCCAGGAAGATTATCTTTTCATGCCTCCCAAGCACTGCAAAAAGTGGAGCTGAGGGACAAAACCCGACTCTTCACACAACTCCTATCTGAGTCCCTGGTGCTGGTAGGTATGGTGAAGGCAGAAGACTGACAGCTGGTCCTCATGCAGCCATCTTTGGCAGTTTGGACGTTTGAGACTTATAAGAACAAAGCCATTACAAAAAAGCTCCTAGGGTTCTGTGGAGGATGTACCTGGAACTTAGAACAAGCAGAGCGCATACAGACTTCAGGTAGCGATGGGCACGCCCATTTTCTACAGCAAGGAGGACAGTGGTGGTGGTTCTCCAGTGTTATGTCGCTTTTTCTTGAAGATCTGCCCATATTCGGTGTGGAACAAAGACACACATGCCTGTCACAGTGATTGTTTCAACCGACAGAAGCCCGACAGAGGCAGTATAAACAAAAATGTTGTTGTAAAGGTACAGGTTTCTCCAACGGAGGTACAGGAATCTCAGGGCAGGGAAGTAGGCCTCCTAAAACCTGAAGTAGGAAGGGAAAAGCTGGCCTTCAGAGAAAGCTGGTGGGTGCCTTGGTGACAACACAGTTCTTCAGTGGGACTAGTTTTCTCTTGCATGTGGCTCAACATGGCGATTCCACGACTCCTTGCACTCAAGCATCTACCACACTGCACTTCTTCACTTTCTTCTCTTGGTTCAATCCTGCTTCCTCCCATTCTAATTGGCTCAACTCATGTATTTAAAGAGGTGGCTGGAGAGGAGGCCCCGTGTGGGCAATGCGTGGGAAACTTCTGTGGATAGGGCAGCATCCCAACACCAGCCACACAGATCTCCCTCTCTCTCTCTGCAGGTACCTCAACATCCACCAACAAGTATAAGAGGGAGAAAACCCAACAGGTTCAACCCTACTTTGGTATCAAGTGATTTAGGCAAAAAAGTATTGACTACTGAACATAAGCTTATTAATCACAAAGCCATTCAAATATTATACATAGCAAACTCATCCTTCTCTTCTGCATTTGTGGTTTCTCTGAAAACAGAATTAAACCGGCCCAAGGGACACAGCTGCCATGAAAGGAAATAGTCTTCTTTCTAGAGTGCTAGGAACATCCAGCGCAATGCCATTACATAGGTCTTTTGGTGCTTCAAAATTAATTTTTGTTTAGGTTTTAACCAGTTTTTTTTTTTTCTTTTTTTAAGATTTGAATTAGAGAGTTGAGCACACACACAAGTGGGGGAAGGGGCAAAAGGAGTCTCTGCTGAGAGTGGAGCCTGACATGGAGCTTGATCCCCGACCCTGAGATCATGACCTGGGCCAAAACCAAGAGCTGGACACTTAACTGACTGAACTACCCAGGCATCCCGGTTTTAGCCAGTTTTATATAGATTTTGGAGCTAGGCTGCCTGAGTTGGTAGCCTGACTCTCCTCCCTAAAAGCTGTGGGATCTTAGGCAAAGGAGCTTCCTCAGTCTGCACCTCCATGTTCTCATCTGCAATTTGAGGATAACGACAGTAATGGCCTCACAGAGCGAGTAGGACGATTAAATGTGTTAATATTTGTAAAGGGCTTAAAATGATGCCTGCCAAAGAGTATGTGTTCCATAAATGATACTTCTTATTGGCATATTCAATTAAGCAGAAATACACACAAACATCTTTAAGAGAAGCACTTGATAAAATACTTTAAAAATAAGTTTATTATAACTAACGAATATAAAATCTGACAGATGTTTTCAAACATTTTTGCAAAAAAAAGTAAAACCCTCCCCACAAGATAGAGTAAGAACTTGGACAGAGTTTTACATGAAAACTAAACATGAAAATTCTCATTCATTGGTTGGTCCCCAATGGCTCCAACACATTTATACTAAGTAAAGGCCCATTAAAATTAACAAATCAACAAACTACTTGACATTTGCGTTCTACTGACATTATGCTGCTCATTCAAAATGCTTTAGGACAAAGACAGTTAACACAAGACTGTATGTGACAGGTACTCAAAGTGCACAGATCTATGAGACCACAAACACTCAGGATAACTGGGGCTGGAATTCAACACTGACTTACAAAATTAATCTGAGGAAATCTATGTACATTGTAGCCTTTGGCATCTGGTCTAATGTTTTTCTTCTTTATAAAGTCATTGTTTTGTCCAATCTACTAACCAGATTAAGTCAACCTTAAATACATGTCTCATCTGACACAGATTGTCCACAGCCAATTTCACGTGAGGTAGTTGGGCTGTTTACTGACATTCTAGTAAAGCTGTCATGACACTGGGGACTCAGACATCAAATGTGCCATGACACTGGCTCATTAGCCTCTGGGAAGCAATAGAATACTCCTAGATCACCTTGTCATCACTGACTCCACACACACCTATGAAGAGACACATACACAGGAGCCTGTGACCTCATCAGTTTTGCAAGGGGTGCCAACCATCCCAGGGTGGCTGCTGTTTATAAAGTACAGGGAAGAAATACTGACCACGCTGTAAAATATATGTAATAGAAAGAATGGTGCTTAAAACAAGCAGGGTCTCTTTCTTGTCATCTTACATAGCTTAGCCGAAAACATCTGTTCACTCTGCAAGAGAAGTGATTAAAAAGGGTAACCAAAAGAAATCTCACAAACTTTTGCATTACAGAGTAGTGGTATGTTTTTTTTTTCCTTTTTAATAAAAGGCTATATAAAACCAGTGGAGGAGAAAGATCAATGCATGCGTCAGCTGTACCGCCACCGATCATTTAATCATGCCCTGGAGTGCCTTAGTGCAACAGCGCAACGAGAAATCATGCAAATGGCCTCTGTACACAGGACGACTGGCTGCGACGGGATGGAAACCAGGAGCGTTTACAGAGAAGGTCTGATGAAGAGTATGTTTGTGGAACTGTTGAATGGATCCCTAACAACCTTGTAATTGATAAACAGTCTTAAAATACCATTAGACAGCTACTGAGTAATTTTTTTAATGTCATTATTATGAAGCCCTGAGTAAGCAACTGCAGGTTACAAAGGGACATCCAAAAGCAGAACATTATTTCTAAATAAAGCCCTCTATATGCACTTCACAGGGACACAGGTTTACTGCACACGCTGATGCTGGTGTACAGGCTGTACCAGATGACCAAGAGCATCTGCAGTCAGGCCCTCTAGGAACAATCACAGCAGCTCAGCTAACACAACAATGGCTTAAAATAGACTTTACTTACAAATTCTAAATCTAAAAATATAAAAAAGGTTGATCGTTTACCTTAAAAAAAAAAAAAACCCACAGAAACTCAGAACAGGGAAGCTGAAAAGCTATAAAAGCTGGGATGAAGACCAGAAGGAACGGATTTTTAATCAATGACTCAGAAATGCACCACAAAGTAACCAAGTCCTCAAGGGATGTAGTAGTTTAAATAGAAAAAAAAAAAAAAAAACAAAAACCATGAAAATAGTTTTCTTTCAGAAAGTTGCCTCACATCATCTTATATTGCTCATGACCTTCTGACTCCTTCTACTGCCTTAAATGAGGTTTCTTCATAGATAGGACTTTCATAATCAGATTAAGTCTCCTTAATACGATGCCTCTTACTTCAACTCCTTTACTTCTAATTTAATAAAGTATACTTCATTTATTGGCTCCTACCATGTATTTTTCTTGATTAAAAGCACTGTTCCGAAAATATAAAGATGAAAGCATTAACTTTGGATACATACAGTGTGTGCGAATAATAATCAAAAAGAGAAGCTCGCAAACTTTCCCAGCAGTGTTTGTCTGATAGGTTACTTTCCGCACACGGTAGTCACCTGCTTTACAGCTACAGCAAATGGGAACGGAGGTTCTTTAAAGAAGCTCCTGAAGTCCAAGAGGGGAAGAGAATCCCCACTGACTGGACACCTCACCCTGGGCTAGGTCTGTGCTCCACATATGCATTAGAGGATGTTGCTGAGGAATGGGGCAGAAGGGCTAAAATGGGGGATGGATTTGGTGCTCTGAGGGGGCTCTGCTGGCAATCTCTTGTAAGAAAAAACAGCAGAGGAAAGCAGTAAGGCTGAGTTTTGGAGTTCGGATATCCCTTAGCGTGCAAACTGACATTGGAGGAAACTTTTTGTTGGGAATGACATGCAAATAGTGATGATAAGGTGCCTCAAGCCGCTACTTACACATCCTAATGAACACGGCCTTTCAAAGTCAATTCTCAATTCCCTGGGGACTGAGGTGTTTGACATCCTGAGAGCCCTGCTTCTAGAACACCCTGCAGAGCTGAATCAAGAGTTGACAAGAGAATCAGCTCCACCTCATAGTCATTGGTTGGTTTTGCCCCCAAAAGGTATGCCTCCAACTTATGTCACCAGGATTAACTAAAATAAATCAAATTTGCTTTCAAAGGACAAAAAAAAAATTCCCATCTCTGAAAGGATTTTGTTCCGTTGGACAAATATACATCAATCCCTCCTAAGCATGGCTTCTCCTGGAGAAGAGCACAAGTGATAAAATTATGTGTTTGCAAGTATTTTTGTCAGGGATCATCCAAATATTACTTAGTAGCTTCTACTAATACCTAGAAGACAAATTACTTTTTTCTTCAGGATCTCTCTAAAGGTTACTCTATAAAAGGACTCCTAAAAATGTTTTGAGCAATGAGAGCAAGGCGATTCCTCTGTTAACAAGCATAACATGCTTTCATCTCATCTCGGTCTCTGGGGAAAAGAAAGCTGAGATATCAAAGAAATCTTGGAGGGCCGAGGAAAGGTCTTAACTATCCTCTCTCTTTGTTCCCATCTAGGATGATACCTGTAGATTAGTACCTGAACTAAAAGCAAACACTGTAGATCCAGGATGAAGCCCTGGCTACAGCATACTTCAGGCCAAGTTCAATTTCTCACCTAGTGTATCACCTAATACAAGCTTTTGTTTAGGGCCCTCCAAGCTTTATACTTATCAGGCACACTTCACGTGCTCCAGTGAGGATAAAGTACCTACCAAAAACCTTACCCCCTCTCTACAGGGTGGCAAAAGGGGGGAGGGAGAGTACAAAATATAACCTCTTCAAGTTATTCAAGCTAACCTGATCTAGGTTCCCAAGGACCCTGGATCATATCCAACTCTTCTTTCCTAGAAAACTGAGTTATAGAAACCAAGGCAGTACCTATATAAATGTGAAAGGGCCATGCTGAGTAGCTTTCTTTCTGTATGTATCCAGAGCCTCAGTGGCAAATCTGAATTTTCAATGTGCCCACCCCTTCTCCAGGAGAACACATGAGTTCACCTGAAGTGACAGGGGGCAGCAGCAGTTGCTCAGAACAGATACTTATAGTCTCCCAGGAGCAGCCCCTTCCAGCAGCACCACGCCTACAGTGTCTTCATTCAAGGTTCAAGCAAAGACTGGCTGTTTTTTGTTTTTTCTCTTTTTCCCTTTTAGTAGACTATGTCAAGGGCAGCAAGTCTGAATTATCCTCTAGCTCTACCATCATATTCACACTAGACAGAGGAGATCCACACTGATGACTCGAGGGAGTGGGAGAGGATGACACACCCACCTCGGCAGCTGCCAACAGCAAGTGCTAAAATACAAATGAATCAATATCATTTTAACACCTTTTCCTCCCGCCTTAAAACATTTGTTTTTCTAAGTTTAAGCATTTTCCAGAAGTCTTTAATGAGTGGGGCACCTGTTTCATTAACCTGAGCTAAATAAACGCCATTTTATTTAAGGACAAAACAAAAGACAAAATCAAAACTCCTCTCTACACCAACCCCTGCCTCAAGAGGGTTCTCTTTGCCCTAGGAAAAGTATCATCTGGGGCTGCTCAGGTAGCAATCACCTGTGTCCTTTTAAGGAACTCACCTTCTACTCTGAGGCACTACCTTGTTGGAATGTCTCTTCTAGCTACTGGAAAGCAGCAGCCTCTAGTGGAGAAGACACCACGACTTCCCGCCCATGCCCACTTTTGGCAGCTTGGCCTACTGAAGACTCCTGGCATCACACACTTTTTAGGAGAATGCCTACCCAGTGTTGCTTTATGCAAGTGTAAATCCCACCTTTAAATTCTGACACAGTCCCCAAGCTTTTGAGATTGATAAGCAGCTGTATTTGGCTGGCTCCGCACTACTGGCGCTTATACCAAGATTGATCAGACAGCACATTGAGAAGCACGGTCTCTGGCTGCAATGCCAAAGCCTGCTGGCTGGGTGCTGAGGCCAGTTCAATCAAGAAAACTGAGTACATTTGCTCCACTTCTTGCTCTCCCTTCAACTATTTTATTTCAGTGAAAGCCTCTTCCTCTTTGAGAAAAAAGGATATATCATTTAGTTCATGCAGAAGATGAGGAGTCCTGTAAACTAGAATTTAATTTCATGGTTCTTCAACCCTGGGTGCAGAAGAATCACCTGGAAAGTTTATTCAAATGCAGATTCCTAAGTCCCACCCCTACTATGCAGGTTCTCAGGTCAGGGTAAGGCCTAGGAATTTGCTTTTTGAAGCACTCCATGTGATTTTGCTGGAGAGGTGGTCCAGATCACACTTTGAAATGGCCTGCTTCCTCTAATTAGAAGCTGTGTGACTGTGAGCAAATCCTTCAAGCTCTCAACCTTACTTTTGAAATGGATAAAAAACCCTGGATGTCACAGTTTCACTGTTATGTCCAGTTCAGATGGTTCATGGGAAAGCATGCTTGCAAAGTGTGGGCACTAGATAGGGGTCATCTCAGATCACACGTTGCATCTCTGCCATACTGTCCTCCAGCTCTGATCAGGGCACACCACTCATATGTGCAGAGTCACTGTCTCCCCTCTCCCCCCCCCCCCCCACATATACAGGGATGGCACTCCTTGTGTCTTCCTCCTTCCACAATGACACGCTCACATCAATGCCCCAAACACCTGGACCACACAGAATCTTCTTGCCTACAGAGCCATGGAGAAGAGGATTCTCTGAATGTCTAGGAATACCAGACTCTACATTTTAATAGCTTCCACAAAGGAACTTAGCCTACCCCAAATTTTTAGTCTAAGTTGAGTGAAACACTGGTAATGTGTTACAGTCCTTGATGCAGAATTTGCTCATTTTCAGTTTGGGTTTGGGAGGCCCATTAAAACTAAAAGGTAAAAACAAAACACAATACCAACAAATTCATTTGTTAAATCTGCTCTTATAACTTGCTGTTCAATTCTAATATAACAGCTACGATTTGGTTTCCAGGAGGCCCTTTGAACTGAAATATATAGCACCTTGGTTTTTAAACACACAAAAGACATATGCATTTTTAAAAATTATATATAAAAGCACTAGGCTTTGCCTCCTTCTCTCCATCCCCTCAAGTAAGGAATTGGAGAAGGTTGAAGCTGCTGCTGGAAATTAAGCAGGGCAACAAAACACTTTAGCAGACTTTATTCCCTGAAGTTAGGAGGCGGCGCGATGCTGCAGACGTCATACCACCTCATCAGACTCCAGTCCATGGACCTCGTATAAAGTGTCCAGTATCGCCAGCTGCTTTTCCATGGCAGGGAGGTAAAGGCTGAGGTCCCTCTGCATTCCAACACTGAAAGCTGCTTTCTGGTGGTCGCCTTCCTTTATGGTTAATGCGGCAACAAAATCTTCATAGGATGGAGCTGCCCTCAGAGCTAACTGCAAAAGAACTGTTCGTGAGAATCTGTATCACGTCCCTTGCTGATGCTTTACTCTTACACATGAGTGCATACGTGCGCACATACACAAAGATTAGAAGAGCGAGAGTAAAAAAAAAGCAGGAACATACCCTTCCAATCCATAAACTCTGAAATTATATTTCAAACACCCGAACAACAAATTTTAAGGCTGTAAAATGGCTGTATGTACTTGAGCCATCTTGAGGATGAATGATACCAACAAATCAGGGGGTGCTGAGAGGAAAGAGTTTGAGAAGAGCTCCCTTCTCATTCACAGTGTGATCCAGACTATGCCTTTTGAATCCTCAGAATCCATCTGCACACATCTTCCTACTACTCTATTTGCTCCCACCTGGCCAGCCTTCCAGGGCACCTCACTCATTTCTGTCCCATCCCATGTAGTTTTCTCTGCCTAGCCCTTTTTCCCCCGACATGGTAATATTTCCTCTGCACCCTTGATACAGTTTATATCCCTATTTTACAGGTGAACATTATATAGATAATGAGTGTCAGGGCCAAGATCTGAACTTAGGAGCGACTCTGCTATCCGGTATCCACTGGATTGGCTCTGCTGATAGCTCTGGAGATTCTGGAATCTTGAATTAATTACACTCTTTCTTGAGCTTCCCTGTTCTTTAAAAGTCTTTGAGAATTAAGCCACCCCCTTTTGGTAATTGGATAGTAACTGGAATTATCATGCAATGGTTAAAGCACAGGCTTGGGTGAAGGAGACCTGGGCTCGAATCACATATTAGCTTGAGAAACTTAAGCAAGGTGCTTAACCTCCTAGAACCTCCATTTCCTCATCTGTAGGACTGGTACCATTTTCCTTATTTGAAAGATTAATGCAATATGTAGCACATGTTTAGCCCACTTTCTGACACATACCAGATACTCAAATAATGGTAGAAGTACACAGGAGAGTAGAGAATGAAGGGAAGGCAATTATCTAAAAAATGTTAGAAAATCCCAGAGAACTGAAGGATGTTAAGTCTTTGGATTTAAAGATCTACCCAGTACTCAGCATAATGAATGATAAAGACTAAAAGGAGAATATCATGAAATTTTAGGATGTGGGATAAAGATCCTAGAAGCATCTAGTAGGGGGGGTAAGGGACAGTTTATATACAATGGAACAGGAACTGGAATGTCATTGGATTCTACAGTAATAACAGCGGAAGCTGAAGGACAACAGAGAAATACTTTCAAAATTCTGAGAGAAAATTATTATTAATCTAGTGTTCTTTTTCTTTTTTTTTTTTTTAACCTAGTGTTCTATACAAGCCAAAGCATCACTCTGGAAAAGAACAGAATAAAGACATTTTCAGACATGCAGAGACTCAGAAGTTTAGCTCCCTTGTACCACTCTTAGCAAGCCATTAGAAGACATCAGTAAAACAAGGGATTAGATCAAGAAGTAACAGAACCTGAGAAGTTAGTGTGAGATGAGGATTTAGTATAGAAAAACTTGTAAAGAAGAGTCCTAGGGCATAGCAGTACACCAGGACTGAACAGCTAATTAAGACTGGCTGTGAGTTTAGAAAGTTCTGGAAGGGAAGTCTCCAAGAAAAGAAACAAAAAAACTCAACACAGATAAACATGACATGTCTGTGGGTTCAGAATGATAATCTGAGAGATTTGATGATGCAGGGGAAAATATAAAACTTGTACAGGAAAAAATCCACAGAATTTTGGCTTATCTTCATGTTATTTTGTGATACACTTATATTGGGAAGGTGGAGATGGGAAATTAGGTAGTGATAGTAAAGTCTAAAGAAAGCTAAATTCTAATCTATAACAGAAAGTCAACATTAATGACTAAAATTGATGAGGCCAAGAATAATAGCAAACATTTTTAGGATTATGAAGGTACTGGAAGAAATAGTCACAGTAGCTGAAAGTGGCAGCATCTCTGGAATGAGTCTGTAAAGGCGTGCACAGAAGGCAGGGGCTGCTATTTTTTCTCATAATCTTTTTGGACTTTTTGATATAAAAAACAAAAAAATAAAATCAAGCCCTATGCATGCGTATTTAGGTATAACACAATTTATGAAAAGTTTTGTCAAGAATGTATTTCTCAAAGGTTCCCAGAGGACTGTGATGCAGTCAAGTCTACTTAGGAACCAGAGATAGAACACAACGGAGGAGGAAACCAAAAAGGTCAAATGACACATTGTTAGGACACATGCTGCAGGGAGAGCCTGGACTGGGCTTTGGTCCTGTGAATTACAACTGCTTGAAGATAAAAGTTCACTATTTGTCTGGTAAATGACTCAAATTCCTGGGTTATAAAAAATGCTTCCCTGAGCAACTGAGACCAGTTAATGACTTTGCCCCTGCTGATCACTTTGCACATTGGGGAACAATATGCTTTCTACAGTAGGGATGACTTGCAGAATCACAGGAGAGAGGCTGGAAGGGCTAATCTAGCTCTTTTATTGATAATGGCTGTTGGCAAATGCTCAACATAATCTATTTTCTTAAAAACCAACAACTATAAAAATTATTGGAATATGGAGAGCCTTCAAAATATTCTTCCTCTCTAACTTTGGGTGTATTAGATCACCTCTTGTGTCTCAGGTTTCTTTATGACAGGGAAGATAAGAGAACAGACTTCAGAATTATGAGATCACTAAATATATGTAAAGCACTTAAAACAACAGCTGGTGCATGGTAAGTGCTCAAAATTCTAAGTTCTAATAGTTCTTGCTGTCAAATATAACAATTTCACTTCTAGGCACCTACTTTTAGGAAATAAAAGAGTTTTGGTCAAAAAGGGATGTAAACGAATGCTGTTGTATTTGTAACAACAGACTCAGAAGCAGCTTAAACTTCTAACATAGAGGACTGGCAAATAAATCATGGTATGTCCATACTAGGGAAGTATGCAGTCACTAAAAATAATGATTTTCAAAGCCCTTATGGCATTTAAACATGGCCATGATAGAATCTGTTAAGTGGGAGGAGAAATAATACAGAATTATACTCCAAGTTAACTATCAAAAAATTTACATGCATATACAGAATATACAAAATAATTTTACACATGTAACAAAATGTAGATATAAAAATATAAACACCTATAAGATATATACTTAGATAAATATATACAATTAAGTAGAACAGCATTAAAAGAATAAGTAAATATATATAAGAATATAAGCTAAGAAGGTAAAAAAACCACAAAAATGTTAAAGATGGTTATTACAGAGTAGTGAGAATATGGACATTGTAATATTTTCCCTTTCCATTCCTCCATGATTTTTACATTTCTTTGAGTCTAAATTACTATATACTGGGGAAAATGCTGTGAATTAACAAAGTCCTTTCAAAGACTCTCGCTTATGCTAAATTTTCTGCTATACTTCTATTCTTTTTGGCAACATCTCTTGGATCATTACTATTTCAGGATTAAACTCTGACTTCTATACCACAAAACCAACTACAACACCACCTTTGTTTCTTATGAATAGGGCAACTCGATGTTTTTATGCTTTGTCATCTCACCAGGGGAACTTGGATTTCAGGCACCTACAAGCAGTCAGTGTTTACTCCGGGAGATCCCGAACATACCGCATCCACTGCCTAATCCTCAGCGCAGCCTCTCCATCCTGCCTTCATGGCAGAGAGCGGCGATGTGAGCGATGAGCACTAGCCCTGGAGACAGCAGAGCTGGTTTAGACCCGGGCTCCATCACACCTTTACTCTGGGACTCAAATGAACAGATCTGAACTTGTCGAACAGTTGAGAGTATGCCCTGAGTAGATTACCTAAGGTGACGAATGTAGAATCTTGCGCTGTGCCTGGTACACAAAGGTGTCCAAGAGCCAAACTGTGGCTATCATGATGATGATGAAACATGTACTGAAGGTAAGCGTGAGCACTTTGTGGCTGCAGTGGCTCTGGCTCCTACTCCAATGAGCGGTGGGGTATAGAGTTATCATCTCCATGCTTTCAAAACATTATTTCATTTCACTAAAATTTATTTCTTCCACACTAAATTCTTCCCACTTTCTTTACCTACCCTTAATAAATCATGACCTAAACAGTTCTTATCTCAGCAAATAATGTGTCCCATCCTAGTAAAAGACATGTGCAAGGCTGTTTCTACCCTCTGACCTTCCACGCAACACTCATATTCTGTGGTGTTTGCTAGCATACCACTACACAAGACTCTGCCTTTTTACAGATGTACCTGACTAAGGCTCACTTCTCCTCAGATGACGGGAGAATCACAGAGTATTACTGTTCACATAAAGGGGCCATCTACTCCTGCAATTTTACAAAGCAGGCTAATTGCCTTGTGCAGGGGACTATGACTCCCAGGTATGTGTTCTTCTTAGGTCAACATGCTGGGAAGAAAGGAATGGCGGGGTAACAGGAGCCAAAACACCCGAAAACAAACACCTCCTACAATGAAGAAAATTGATTAAGAAGTGGTTCCTAAGAAGCCCTAGCGGCTGGCACACCAACTTAGTTAATATTCAAAGATACAATGTGACTAAGTGGAAGACAAGTCAATTAAAACCTGGGACTTAAGAGGACCAAGTACATGAGCAGTAGAGGGAGCCATGAGTTTGAAGGCACCGCTGGTCTCCCAGCACTGGGGCCACTGCACTGATCAGAAGACAACCACAATCTCCAACATGGTCACTGGAGCTGGAGCTCGAACTGGACAGGGAAAAGCACGCTAACAGTTTTTTCTAGTCTAGACATTTTCTATTGCCAACTTTCCACACAACAAAGATCTACAGACTTAAACAGGCAGCACTGTGTTCTTATTCTTGAGAACAAAGCAAACAGAAACACCATGCACACAAAACAAACCAAACATCTCGCTGTGACCATCAGAACATTAGGAAGCAGGAGGATTACTTACCGCAAAAACCCCTCGAACTACCCAGCCGTGGTGCTGCCGTAATGTTTTACCATATGCGTTATCTTGAAAAGAAAAAAAAAAAAAAAAAACTCCATGAACCACAATTTCACTAGAATCAGATGTTCTATTTGTAGCACCTCCTTTCTAATGTACATGGTAGCATGATCCTACTGGTATTATGAGCTGATGAGAAAAGTCTAATTACAAGATTATGTGCCCCCAAAAGTCTTGGGTAGGAAAAAAGCCTACAAAGATTTTTTTTTTAACAAAAAAACAGACAGCTCCACTTTTACCCTGTGTAAATATATCTGAACTTCAGTTTATTAAAATGGTGAGAAATGTCCCGCACATATCAGGAAATAAAGATGGGGAGGGGGTGTAATTGGAAAAATCTAAACTAAATACAATTAAAAATACACTATAATATAAAAATGTACTTCTCTGAATGTTATGGGACTCTGAGCCAGTCCCTTAGCGGTCTTCTTGGTTTCCCTCTTTGTAACCTGATCTTTGAGTTTCCTTTCAATTCTAACATTCTATTCTGGTATATTAAATGTTTGTCCTAGATGTCCCCATTACCATGGATATACAGTATTAAACCAAGACACCTTTAAAACTACCATCGACAGAGTGGCTTGAAATTACTAAGCTAGTTATAAAGTTCTTGGTGAGACCTATTAATGAAAGTCACTCATATTCTAGACTTTAAAGATAAAAACCTATGATTTTTGTCTCAATATGTTTTAAAATGAGATTTTAAAACTGGCATATAATAATTTTAATTACAAAAAATAATCTCAAGAACAAAATGACTGCATTTTATGCAAGGGATGTATTCCTTAAGGATTTGAATAATACATGCAAAATTCAAAACTGATTTTTCCAAAGGAATAAATGCATTCTCAGGAGGCACCGATCTACATTACCACAGTGCACTTGTATCAACACTCCATTTCATTTTGAAGCACCATCTCCAGTGTTTACAGAGTGCTCATTCCTAAATAATAGCTAGGGATCACAGGGGTCGTCTGACCTTCTTTATCATGCTTTATCACATCTAAATTTTATTCCAAACTTAATTATTTTCATGAGCTAGTTTCAGCACCAGTACAAGTGCCACCACCATTTAATCAATGCTTAAGTGACATTATAATAGGATATAAAAATATTTCAAATTATAACAAAAGCAGATGTTAACATAACAGAAAAGCAGACACTGAAAAATTACAATCACAAGTTTATGCAGTTCACTGCAATGTGGCTCACAGAATACTGCCAAAGGATGTCAGGTATCTACATTTTCCGGGCAGGTGGCTGTAGCTTAAACAAATTTTAACAATTTACTCAAGCCCTCTGGTTTGGAAATAATATAATTCTTGTCAACTTTTCTTTTAAAAATTTGGATGAGGCTTTATTATACTTTTAGCATACGCTACTATCAAGTTTACATAATTCAACTTTGCATAAAATACAATTTATATTTTACATAAAAGACGGTACATTTGAAATGTAACAGATTCCTCTGGTTATCTAAAGTTTTAAGAACAGGTGGAAATGCCAGCACCCTGTTGGTAAGCTAAAGCAGAAACAATAAAGAAATAATAAGTTCAAGTATGGAGAAGACTCTTACAAACAGCCTAAAGGAGAACTCAAAATTAAATTTAATTTTTTTCTTAGGAGAGCAGTCTGAATAGATGTAGAGTGTGCTCATAGATACAAGCCTTTGATGTAAGCCACACTTCAAATCTATCTGATTCTCCAAGGGGACAGATGGTATCAGGGACACTGCAGACGGTGTATAAGGTCTTAGCAAAGAAAGGGTTGCTGGCCCTCTATGTGTATAGTGCAGATGGGCAGAAAACAGTAGGCATACTCTCTGAGGTAAATCAGGAAGACAAACCACATTCCACCCATCCTTTCCAAGAATCCATTTGGGCTGGCAAGATAGTGTACAGGCCCATGGGTGTCCACTCCTGAAGTGAGTCACAGAAGTAAAACAGTGGGAATACTTTATTTCTTGTGATCTTAGTCCAGGCGAAGAATTAAATGCTATTATAAATAAACAGATGGGATTCAGTGACATTAAAATCTGCTGGCGGACATCCACAATGCAATGAGGGGTGCCACACACCCCATACTGTGCAAGGCAGGGGAGATCCTTGAGTGATTAAAAAATCAGTCAGTCCACTGCCCTCAGCAAGTTTCTGGGCTTATGAGAGCCAGCCATTTAACAAAGTGGTATTATATAAACTGACAACTGCTAGTAAAGACGTGTATACAGAACTTTCTGTAAGAATAAAAAGAAGACAGAGAAATGAACCCAGCCTGTGGGCATGTGGACTAAGAATTCTCCAAAGAAGTCTCACAGGCTGGTAGGGTGGAGAGAAGGGTGGTGGCTGGGGCTGCAGACAACCACCAAGAAGCTGTGAGAGATGGGGGCATGCCATGCAATGGGGAGTAGTTTACCAGGGCTGAAGATCACTGGGGCTAGGGCCAAATGGTGAGGACCTTTATGTGCCATGCCAAGGATTCCGAACTTCCCACCAAAGGCACAGTGGCAGTTCTAAAAAACCTTAACACTTATCTGCTTTTTTCTAATTTCACAAGTAATGCATGCTCATTGTTGAAAATAAGGAAAACACAAAAAGGAGGAAACTAAAGAAACCTATAATCATGCCTCCCAGATATAACCACAGTGGGCATCTTGCGGTTATATTCTCTTAGTCTTTTTTTCCTATACAAACTGCATTATGATCTTCTGACAGCCATGATCATTCCGATTGGGAACTGTGGTAGGTAAGTAAGAGGGTGAGATTTACATTTCCTGACAGTTTGCAGCAAATGCAGCTGGTCCTGGTCCCTCAGTCTTCAGCTCCCAAGGGCTCCTAGCTGGATGAACTCCAATGTTACTCCAAACCTCAGGGACTCTATACCTTTCTTACAATCCGCTATTTAAGTCAGTCCTTCAAAGCCCAGAAACCCTTCTCCATGCCACCCTTTTTAGGATAGCGGGGGTGGGGTGGGGTGGCGGCGGGGCGGCGGGGGGGAAAGGGTGCTGTTGAGTCCCAATAATGGGACAGTCTGGTCTAAGGAAAGGGGAGTGTCTCTATAGCAGAATGATTTGTGCCCTCCCGCCTGGCCCTTCTAGAGGCGACAGCCATCCCTTGCCAGGGAAGAGCTTTGCCACAGTGCAAAATGTGGGCCAGCTAGTCTAATAGGACAAGGAGCAATCAACTGGAGAATTTGCGCTGGGTCCTGACTCAGGTCCAGAAAGACCGTTATTATAACTTAAACCAACAAATGAGAGAAAATTCGATATATATATATCCCACAAAAAAACACAACTTGCCAAAAGTCCTTAGCTGACTTCTAGGGCTACAAATATCCCTGCCACATGAGGCTGCATTAAAATAAAATGAAGTCTAAGCGTGACCTATTTTAGTTACCTAGAGAAGATTAGATAATGAAATACATTAATCTTCACTGTAATATCCATTCATTATCATAATGCGTGTTCTATAATCTGCAAGTATTTTTGGCCTCTGAAAGACATAAATGATCCCCTTCTCCCAGAACTTTGAGATGTGTCAGTTCCTCAGAGGCTGAATCAAAATTTCTGAGTAGGAAGCCTTAACAATCACCTTGCCCAATTCTTTTCCTTTTACAAAAGAAGAAACAAAAGACCCAGAGAGATGGTCACTTGGCCAAGGTCACAAAGTTAAAAACAATGAGAACTTGGGGTAGTATTGTCACTTTAAGCCATTCTAAAACTCTAATGTTTACTCTTTGTGAAACGAAATAACAAAAATGTGATTTCTTTACTGATAACTCAGAAATGTGCTGAGGTATGTATGTATGTATGTATGTATGTATTAAAAGATTTCATTTTTAAATAATCCCTAAACCCAATGTGGGGTTCAAACCTACAACCTCAAGATCAAGAGTCACACACTCCACTCACTGAAGCAGCCAGGTGCTCCAGAAATTTGCTGAGGTATTTAGAGATTGATTATGCCTAAACCTGTTAGAGCATGTGAGAGAAAACAACTTTTCCATCACATCACTGTTGGTAGATAACTATTCTGTCCAGGAACTGAATATATGACAGTGTTTCTGTATTGTCAGTCTGTAATTGGTAAGAATTCGTCAAGTTACTTTGGGCTGTAGAGAAGACAAAGGAGAAATGCAAATCTAAATTTTAGGAGAGCTTGGGAAGTAGATAAGCAAAGCCTGGAAAGGTGGAATCAATCATTCCCTGAGTTTAGGAGATGACACTCATCTCAGCTCTGCAATGGACTATGCTAGGCAGTCCTTGGCAACAATTAGGAACCAGGAGAGGTTTGAAAGTGAATAGATCTGAAAAAGAATACTGAGTGAAAAAGAGTGTATATAGTGTGACACCAAGTATAGGAGTTTAAAACGTGAAGTACAATACTAGATGCTATTTATAAACACATAAATATCTAGTAAAAGTATAAAAACGTGTTATATAACAATAAATAGCAAATTCAGGATGAAGATCTTCTCTGGAGAATGGAAGGAATAATAGGGTCAAGGGGTGGTACATGGGTAGAGCATCAAACTGTTTTATGTATTTGTCAAGTGGTAGAGATTTGCTAAATATCTGAAATATAATAATAAAAAAAACTGAGCTATTAGAAAAGTACTGAATTCTCTAATAGTGACTAAGTTTCAGGCAAAATGAATTGTATGAAGAAAAGGCAAATCAATAACCAATGGACAGCAGCAAAGAGGAGATATCCTTTGTTAACTTTAGGCATTATCAAGACAAAAACATGTATTATAAGCCAAGTCTGCCGTTCAAGAAAGGCACATACTCTGAGTAGTTTGGGAGAGGGCCTGACTTGATTCCTTTTCCACAGTATTTTAAGAAAAACTAGTCAAGTTATAATTTGATTGTGAATATCAGATGAATTCTGACTTTAGCTCTCTCACACAGTTCTCTTTGGGAAAGCCTTTTACATTAAATACATAACTAAGCATCTTATTACAAATTTTCCCATTGTATGCTAGAGATCTTGGTTGGGTCAGTGTTTACCTGACATTTATGGAATCATCCTGAGGTGAGGGGTGTGGTAATATGCCGTCCCACTGAGGGGACAGTGCAGAGCGTGTTAACACTCAGTACAATGGTGCCTGAAATGCCTGAGCAACTTTTCTGCCTTTTACTTACAGGGAGGTTTCCCAAAAGCTCTTTTTGATGTGGCTTCTGCGAATGGAGGGGCTCAGCTATAGGGTGGACCATTCAACATATCTGCCTTGTGGACCTATCTCTTCCTTTAGAATGAACTCTAGAGAATGCCATAGGACATTTAAGGGTTCAGAGCAGCTCTTGACATGAGACTACCCAAAAGAGTCCACTCTAATCATAATAGGAAATGCAAGCGATGGTTCAAATGCAAAAGGGGGCAGTATAAAGCCTAAGGCCTCTTTCAGATGCTAGGAACTCATTCTAGGTCAAAGAACTTCAGCAATACAATGACTATACATACATTCTCCTAAGAGATGTCAAGGTTTCCATTGTGTCATTTAGAATTTTTTATATATATCACCTTCCATTTTCAAGGCCATTAAGGTTATACAAGTTTTATGAACGTTTACCTCAAAATCCTTCTTAAGCAGTGTTTTCAAATTTGGGAGTGTCAGTCAAGGTTTATCCTTAATTCATCCCTACTATCTTGCTATTCCTAAGTTAGGAAAAATTTTCTGTCACTGGAGAACTAGCTAATTATCATGAAAAGGAGGCAAAATAACTGATGCTGTGGCACTAACCTCAGCGCTTTTATTCCAGTTTATTCATCAATTACTCAGAAGCAATCAAATTCTCAAATAATCAAAATGTAGCCTAGGGACAGGTTAGCTTCGATGTCCTAGTTCTAGATGAGTGGATCTCAAACTTTTAACATGGATTAGAATCACCTAAAGGATTTACTAATATGGATTGCCATGTCCCATCCCTGGGGAGTTTTTATCAGCAGGTGCTAGGTGGGGCCTGGCAGCCTTCATTCATTCATTCATTCATTCATTCATTCATCTTTCTTTCTTTTAGATTTTGTTCCTTTAAGAGAGAGACGGAGATAGTAAGAGAGAGTAAGAATGGGGAGGAGAAGGAGAAACCGACTCCCTACAGAGGAGGGAGCCTGACGTGGGGCTCCATCCCAGGACCCTGAGATCATGATCTGAGCCAAAGGTGGACGCTTCACCAACTGAGCCACCCAGGTGCCCAAGCAGCCTTCATTTCTAATAAGTTTTCAGATGATAAAGACATTCTCTTTGGACCACTTTGAGAACCACTGATCTAGATTTGAGACCCTACGGAAGGTACTTATCCTCTAGACCTCAGTTTACTCATTGTCAAAAAGGACTATTTGGAAGATTAAATGAAATACTTCTTAAGAACCTAGTCTCATTCCTACACCAGGTGCTCTAAAAAAATAACTCATATTCAACTTTAGAACCTAAAACATGAAAGCTAATTTGCCTATATAAATACAGGCATAAACCCTCTCTTTTACCTACATTTCTAAACTCCTTCATTTTAGATAAGGTATCAGTTCTACTTATAAAGGCCATGATTGAAAAATGAGAAGAGAAGCTGTTGACTCAGAAGAAATCTGCATCGAGGAGCCTATGGATTCTAAGTAGTTAATGTGCAAACACTTCTTATGAAGCTACATTTGTTTCCACAAAGCTTGTCCTGTCTGCATCTGGAGGGAGGGTGGGTGACTAGAGGAACTTCTCTTTACACTGAACAACAGCAGGAAACTAGGGACCCCATAAGCAAAACTATGATTTAAATCATGAAAACTTCTGAAATAATCCTGAACACCAGGATGAAAATCCGCGAGTCTACAGCCCTCTCTTCCCTCTGATTGAAAATAGTGCTGAAGGGCAAGCTGAGACTGTGCTTATTTTGGTTTTGAAGCATCATTTCCCCTTCTGGTCTCCTCTCTCTTCAGAAGGGTCCAGACTCCAAATCAAGTAAAAAGGGGGGGGGGGGTGAAAAAGGGCAGAATTAGGATATTTTCAGCTGCCTCCCCACCTCAGGGGCCAAGCTTTTCTTTTTACTTGTATGACCAGTAAACAGCTGGGTTCTCTTCTGCCTCTGCTCCGGTGGAGAGGTGAGTGAGGTCAGTGTTCACCTGCTCCCTCACACAGACAGCCGTACCAAAACAGCATCATGTGAAGGGTGGAACCTACCAGGCACACTGCTGAATCCCAGAGCTTATGTATTTCCTGCAGTAGAGGAGTCTTCCTCTCAGGGTAAATTTCTACACTAAGAAGTTAGTCTGGAGAGAAATTTCTGGCTTGGCACGAGAGCTTTGTAAACTTCTCATTTCTGATTTGGAGCAAACAAACCTCAATTTCTGACAGGTTATCAACTTCTTATGTCATGATGATGAAAATATAAACAAGAGAAGCTAGCCTCTATCAAGTGTTTATTACATAGCACTCAACTACTCTACTAATCTTTTTTACATGCATGAACCTATTTAATATTTACAACATTTTTAGGGAAGTGGTATCATCATTCCCATTTTATAGAAGAGGAAACCAGGAAACAGAAAGGTTAAGTAAATTGCCAAAGGACACAATGCTATCAAGTGGTAGATTCCAGAGAGCCCAAGATCTTAATTATTCCTTAAGTCATAAAGCTCCATCGATACACTGATGAGGAGGCATCAATAGTTATAGTAAATATACTTCAGGACACGTGTACTGAAATCGGGACACATGGGGAACATACAAGGGCCCGTCCTAGAAATTCAGGGATATATAAGAAGCTCCTGAAATACAGGTAGTCTAGGGATAGTGGAGAAGACCTTTTGTGAGAAAAATGAGGGCTTTTGAGGCAATGGGCCCAAAGTGATTCTGCTTCAGATCTTTCATGGCTTTAGCATATATTTTAATCCCTCAGAATTTTGGTTACCCAGCCTGTAAAAATGGACTGACGTGAGGATTAAGTTATCTAAATTCTTCATAAAGTGTCACAAAAAACCTCCAGTTTTATTGTTTCATGGCACATCAGCAAGTTTCTAGATAGGAAGGCCTGAGAAAGTCACATGGGGGCAGAACCCCTCAAGACTCACGGCCAAGGGGAAGATTAACATAAGTAAGAGCTCACTCCTGACACCAACAAAATGCTGCAGTGAATACTGGCTCACCTTCTACAACAGAAGCATCTAATTCATTCATTTCATTATTTAAAATTATGGCTACTGGGACGCCTGGGTGGCTCAGTGGTTGAGCGTCTGCTTTTGGCTCAGGGCGTGATCCTGGAGTCCTAGGATTGAGTCCCGCATCAGGCTCCCTGCATGGAGCCTGCTTCTCCTCCCTCTGCCTGTGTCTCTCATGAATAAATAAATAAAATCTTTAAAAAAATAAATAAAATAAAATAATGGCTACTTAGAGCTTGACCATGTGCTTCTCTATATCACAATAATGTAAGGTTTCAAAGTAATATGTAATTTCAACACCCACTTTCCAACCCTCATGCCTCAAGGCCCATGCTGGGAAAATTTCTTTTAGGCAAAGAGTGAGATTTCAGCTACTCTGTCAGGAGCACTTGGAGGATGCTCCCAAGTCTCTAATGTTTTCCAAAACTGATCTGATAGGTCCATCTATCTACTATCCACTCTGTATTTACTAAGCACCTTATAAGGTTCCAGCTCCTGCATTATAAGATGCTGGAGATACAGGATGACCTTTGACCAAGGCCTTCATCCTGGTCTCAGCTCTACCACTACAAACACAAGGCATTTGAGGAGTACAAGATGATGACAATGATGACCCACTCTTTATATCACTCCAGAGCAAATTTCCAGTGTTCCCCCAAACCCTCCCTGTTATGATCTGTAAAACTAGCTTCTCTTGGGATATTGATTTTAGAGAACTGTACTATATCTGAAAATTAACTTAGGAAGAACTCACTTCTTAAAAATATTAGGCTTTCATATTAAGAGATGGCTCTCCATTAATTTAGCTCTTCTTTAAGATATACTAATTTTTAATAAGTTAGATCTACATTAGTAGGTCACTGTTTCATGGGTTCTTTTTTAAAGAGAGGATATAAGAAACAATAATAATGAAATAGAAAAGAAATAAAATCAACTCCAGAAAAGTAAAAATTTTCCCCTATACCCTGCCTCCTCCTCTAGGGGTCTCCATTCCACATCCTATTCAATGGACTGATCAAAATGTAAAGGACACTTACTCAAGGCTGTCTGGATATCCTTTTCTCCATTTTTCACTTCTGTCAAAAATCCCTTCAAAAATTTGAGACCTCTAAAACAAAAAAGAAGAATAAATATTTTCAAAGTTCACTTCTATTGAACAGGTATAAAGAAATGGCAGACATCAGTGTCTTCAATAATTTCTTGGATATAGGAGCAAACAGGTCAAGTCACATGGCAGTCCTTTCTGACTTTAATCTCTGTCATTTCCTTTTAGTTTGTTCTAGACCCTCATCTGATCCACCTAAACAGTGGTTTCCAAAATGTGGTCCCAGGACCAGTGGGAACTTGTTGGAAGTGCTTATTCTGGGCCCCATTCCAGACTTACTGAGTCAGAAAGTCTGAGTTTGGAGTGGAGCAATCCGTGTTCTTCAGAAAGCTCTTCAGGTGATTTGGATGCTACTCAAGTTTGTGATCCTCTGACTTAAAGAGAACCAGTCAACTCTATCATCCTTTAAGATTCCTATCTTAGATACACTGTTAATATTAACAATGTGCATCAGAAGGGAAGAAAAAAAAAAGAATTGGTGTTCTATTCATCAGGCCTTCTAAGAAAAGGTTATTGGGTTAGATCCTCCACTCAGAAGTAATCTTTGCATAATACTTTTTTTGCTGGTAGCAAATGCTACCAACTGAGCTGGATTTCAACTGCTGCCCCATCCCAGCTGCCTCACCTCTTCAGCCACAAGAGGGCTTCTGTAGCTGAGTTCCTAACCTGGGCTACATCAGCCTCCACTTCGTGCAGCACTATCTTCTGGAGGGTAGTGAACTCTTCCTTGTTGGTTATATACTTCTGATTTACTTTCTGCAGGAAAAGCAGGAAAAACAATCTAAATTAAAAATGCTAAAGCTATCAAGCAAATCAGTATAGTACTGAGACTGAAAAGCTTGTCAAGCAGGCCTCTAAGAAATCAAAATAATTAAGCCTCTTTATCTTCTTTATGTTTTCAAGGTAATATATTTTTGTTTGAGAATCCTTATGAGGCATAAGCTAGAATTAAATAGTCTCAAGGCTTTAAAATACTGTTTTTAAAGTATTTTTTTTTTTTATGTCTCAGAACCTTTCCCACAGCGGTCTATACTTTTCATCTTGAGTATAAAACTTAATAATCATGTGTTTCTGAATGAGGTTTCACGCACTACTCCTTCCAAATATGTTTCCATAGAGACATGCTAGTATATTCACCTTAATATTTCCAACAAGATCCATTTTAACAGGAGCAAACACCGTAGGGCCAAGTTTGTCTAGAAGAAAAAATTGAAACATCTTTGAAGAAGCAATTTTTAAGTGGAAAATATTTTTATAGTAACAAAAAATTTAGTAGGTTTTTCTTCCCAAAACTTTTTTTTTTGCTTTTAAATCATTTTCCAAACATAAGTTCCAAAGGCTTCTAAAGATATTGTCATCACAAAATACAGACCAGATTTCAAAGACTCAGTATCAAAAAAATAATCCCATTAATGATTCCTTTCTACTGATTACATGTTGAAATATTATTTTGGATATACCAGGTTATATATTATTGAAATTAGTTTAAAAATAGTTTTCTAGGGATCCCTGGGTGGCTCTGTGGTTTAGCGCCTGCCTTCGGCCCAGGGTGTGATCCTGGAGTCCCCGGATAGTCCCACATCAGGCTCCCTGCATGGAGCCTGCTTCTCCCCCTGCCTGTGTCTCTCATGAATAAATAAATAAATAATCTTAAAAAAAAAAAAAGTTTTCTCTTGTTTTTACTATTTAATGGGTACAGGAAAAAAAAATTTCAATAAGTGTTGAAATGTATTTTATAAAATTAACTTGCTCATGATTATAAAAAACTACTCAAATACAAACGTCAGTTGTATCTGTACACTATCAACAAACAACTGGAGAATGAAATATTTTTTACAATAGCATCAAAAATCATAAAATTCCAAAATTTATCCCTAATAAAAAATGTGTAAGACCTCTACACTAAAAACTATACAAAACATTGTGAAAACAAAAACCTAAGTAAATGGAGGGACACAGCATGCTCTCATATTACAAGACTTGAAATTGTTTAGGATGTAACCTTTTTCCTAATTCGTTTAACAATTCAATATAATCTTAATCAAAATCCCAATAGGTTTTTAAATAGAAACTGAAAAGCTAAAATTTATAAGAACATGCAAAGGACCTAGAATGTCAAAATCTTGAAAAAGTACAACAAAATTCAAAGACTTACATTATCTGATTTCAAGCTTTAATATAAAGGCACAGTAATTAAGACAATATAAGTATTGGCATAAAAAAAAAAACAGACCACTAGGACAGAAGACAGAGTCTAAAAACAGACCCACACCTAAAAGGTCCACTGATAATTCAACAAAGCCACCAAAATAATATAGAAGGGAAAATAAAGTTTTACAATGGAATGCTTACAACTCAGAACAAAGAACATTAATCAACTATTTAAAATGGATTAAAGATTTGAAAAGACTTCACAATGAAGGAGATAGCAATGGCCAATAATTATATTAAAAATGCCATCATCATTAGACACAGGGGAAGTGTAGAGGCCAAGGGCACCCCAAGGTGGGCCACTTGAACATGAAGATTATTTGGAGTTAAAAGCAATCAAACCCAGCAGACTGGGTGGGGGGTTCTTTACCTTCCCCTGGACTGCTTAAATTTACATTGGAAAGGAAAGCCTGTCCCAGGAAGAAAGAAATTAACAGATTCTTCTTTACATAAGAAACTTATGTGCATAACAGGGCAACCTCGGTTTTCCAACCATTTCCTCTCATCTTCCTACTAATGATATCCCCCACTGTATATCCTACTTTACAGGCCCCTACCCCTTTCCTTAGGTCAGAATGTCATATAAGCCTCATGTTGCCTATCTTTGGAATTTCCTGTCTGTGTGGATGCTCCATATGTACAGAATTAAATTTGATTTTCTCCTATTATTTTGTCTCATGTCAATTTGATTCTTGGTCCAGCCAGAAGGACCTTGAGAACAGTAAATTACTTCCTCCTCAACACGACTTAAAGCCACAATGATATCACTAAACACTCACAGAAATAGCCAGATCAAAAACCTCAATACCACCAAGTGTTAGTTAAGATGTGAAGCAACCAGAATACTCCTACATTGCTGTTGAATGTGTATGATTGTGCACTTTTATAAAGTTAAGTAGATGAACCCAATAAATTGGCAATTCTCCTAGATATTTACTCAAGATATGAAAAAATTTGCCCACAGACATAAAAATATTCGGAGCTATTTCATTTATAATAGTCCCAAGTAAGAAACTACCCAAATGCCCATCCATCAATTGAAGAATGAATAAAAAATTGTGGTATATTCACTTAATAGAATACTATTCAGCAATAAAAAGGAATGAACTACTGATACATGTAACAATTAAGGATGAAAACATTATACTGAGAAAAAAAACAGATGCAAGAGTAGATAATATATTTTTTTAAATATTTAATTTATTTATTCATGAGAGACACAGAGAGAGAAGCAGAGACACAGGCAGAGGGAGAAGCAGGCTCCATGCGGAGAGCCTGATGTGGGACTTGATCCCAAGACCCTGGGACTACACTCTGAGCTGAAGGCAGACACTCAACCACTGAGCCACCCAGGCATCCCAATAATATGATTCTCTTATATAAGATTTTAGAAAAGGCAAAACTAACCTATGGTGACAGAAATCAGTAAAATAGTTGCCTTGGGCTGGATGATAGTTGTAGCTGACTGGCACAGGGCACATTCTAGGGTGATGAAAACATTTTACATCTTGACAGGGATATGGATTACATAGGGGTAGGTGTGTTTCTTAAAGCTCACTGAATCAAAAAAAAAAAAAATCAAAAAAAAAAAAAAGCTCACTGAATCATAATACTTAAATTCTACGTAAGCTGTATCTCAATATCAAAAAGAGATATGTAAAAATTTTTTAAATGAATTAAAAAAGATTCATAGCGGGCAGCCCCAGTGGCTCAGTGGTTTAGTGCCGCCTCCGGCCCCGGGTGTGATCCTGGAGACCTGGGACTGAGTCCCAAGTCCGGCTCCCTGCATGGAGCCTGCTTCTCCCTCTGCCTGTGTCTCTGCCTCTCTCTCTGTCTCTCATGAATAAATAAAGATCATTAAAAAAAAAAAAAAGATGCATAGCTAAATGGGTCAAAAAACATATTTCAACACATTAGTGTTGCCTGGTTCTACACACTCTCTATAAAAAATTTGTAATTTGAACTTGGAAATTACTTATATGCGTAATTTTTAAATCTTTGACAAAAATGTTTTAACCGATAAAATTTTTTTTCTTTATCAGTTTTTTTCATTACATCAATAGATTTGAAGCTCTCTTCTTCAACTACTTTTACTCTTGCTTTTTAAGTATGATTTCTCAAAAACAAAATTCCCTTTTTTCCTTACACTACTCTGTGGTCAATATTTAATCATAGGTAGGAATAAAAAGGAAATATGTAATAATGCTCAAGGTCACACAGTTGTTTTTTTTTTTTTAATTTTTTTTTTATTTACTTATGATAGTCACAGAGAGAGAGAGAGAGGCAGAGACACAGGCAGAGGGAGCAGGCTCCATGCACCGGGAGCCCGACGTGGGACTCGATCCCGGGTCTCCAGGATAGCGCCCTAGGCCAAAGGCAGGCGCCAAACCGCTGCGCCACCCAGGGATCCCCGGTCACACAGTTTTTAACTGTGTGTAGCTGGTGATATGAGAGGTAGCTAAGAAGGGTAATTTCACTGTACATGTAATTTAGGATATTTCTACTGCAAAATAACAGCAGTGAGACAGATTCTAGAGACTAATGAATTTAAGACAAATTTAATCTTACCTAATACTGGAACCACAGCATAACATGATGCCAAGAATGCTTCTGTGGGAATGCCACTGTCTTCCAAAAGTTCAATGTCACTAAAGCTAAACAATTTGGGGATACAGAAGGAGAAAGAATGAAAATGCATTAACACTCTATGCAGTTCAGAGGTAGTCATGAAAACAGCTGCCCTTCTGCAGAGCAAGTAATTTGGCCTGATTTCAGTGATTGTTCTTCTATTATAATATGGTCCAATAAAATCATTTTCCAAAGATAATCTACCAAAGCAAGATAAAATTTGTTCAGGGTATAGTCTCACAATCTAATTTCCCAATGCTTCAAACAAAGTAAGTAGTAAAGCAGAGAGTTGGTATACCATATCCTCTGTTGTTAGAATATGCCATCACCTGAAAGGAACACCACACCACGATTGATTTTCCAGAAGGGAAGCTGGTATCCAACTGTCACTGATTTTAGAAAAGCAGAGGATACCTGGTATTCATAGTACTAAAGAAAGTTGGGATGATTTCTTGGCCTTCTTCCCAGTGGGATTCTGGAGAGCTACTCGAGGAGTCTAATGCAGGCTGTGCTAAGCTGCTGTCATGATTTCCCAGGCTGTCCTCTCCTTCTTCCTTCATGATCTCACCTTGGACTGCAAACACAACATACTTATTACTAACCTATTATTTATCATAAAAATTAATATATATTCATTGCTGAGTATTTCTAAAACACAGAAAACTATACAGAAATAAAAATCAGTGAAATATTATATATATACATACAAACACAATTTGGTTTAAATATATGTAGGTTTGTATTCCACTTGTTTTTATTTGTTTATCATGAGTATTTCCATTATCATTCAATACTCTTTAAAATATGATTTTAATGACCATTGATGTTGCATCAAGCTCACATAGAGGACGCTGTGTTTCTCAAATTTTAGTGTTATACAGTCGATTCTCATTATTAGCGTATTTGCCTTCTCAGGAAAGTTTATTTGTAATCCTAAAACCAATGCTTGTGGTACTTTTGCAGTCACTTCTAGACATGTGTAGAGTGGTGAAAAATTTGAGTCACACATACATATTCCAGTGGAGGTCAAACAAGGTGACAATCTGCCTCCTTGCTTCAGTTCTTATACTATACACAAGTGTGTTTATGTAGCATCATGCTTTGTGCATTTTGTTATTGATTTTGCTGTTTATAGGCACCTCCAAATGTAGTGCTGTCTACTGTTCCTAAGTCTAAGAAGGCTATGATGTGCCTTATGGAGAAAATACATGTGTTAGGTAAATTTCATTCAGGCATGAGTTATAGTACTGTTATAGTACTGTTGGCTGTTGGCCATGAGTTCACTGTTAACGAATCAACAATACATATTAAATAAGGGGTCTTTATTTTTTATTTTTTTTTAATTTATTTACGATAGTCATACAGAGAGAGAGAGAGAGAGAGAGAGGCAGAGACACAGGCAGAGGGAGAAGCAGGCTCCATGCACCGGGAGCCTGACGTGGGATTCGATCCCGGGTCTCCAGGATCGCGCCCTGGGCCAAAGGCAGGCGCCAAACCGCTGCGCCACCCAGGGATCCCAAATAAGGGGTCTTTAAACAGAAACACTCATAAAACAAAGCTATATACTGATCAATCAACCAAAATGTGAACAGAGGCTTATAGGAACCTAACTTTGTATTTCCTCTAGAAGCAATGGTTTGCTAATTCAATGTCTGCAGTGACTTTATAGAACACAATTACCATGAATAATGAGAATCAACTGTAATGTCATAAAGAATATCCCTGTCCACAGATATTTGTCCTTAAACTTAACTATTCCCTGGAGACAAACTCCTAGAAATAAGTAAAATTATTGGACCAAATAACAGTACTGTTTCCATAGAGATTCTCCTATCTTTATTATTTACTCAAGAGATAAGACTTTAGTGATTCAGTGGATTTAGAGCTTTGAAAATGCATCTTCTTTTTCCCCAACTCATCTGGAAAAAACAGGGTCTCTTACTTCAGGGGAGATGAGCAAGAAACTTATTTAAAATTTTATTTTCAAAATATTTATTAAACACTTATAACACAAAAGCTTTCACAGGATTGTCTTGGACTGATCTGAAGCTGGTTTTAGTGGTTAGAACCAATGGAATTAGCAAATTTGGAAGGGCAGCATTTTCAACAACAAGCTATTACCTGAAATGTGGAACTCTGGCTTGATGGACATGGAGAAGGCTGGGTGAAAAACCTGATGGTGGTTGGTGAATTCTGACATCTTTGGGCCGCACCAAAAACCACGAGGAGTGCAACCTCAACTGCCATAACTTTACACTCAACAGAGTGTCTGACATCATAGTTTAAGTTCAAAGGATCTTGACTTAGAGTAGAAGAGCAGTGTCTATAAAGCAGCACAGATGGCTGCTGCTCACCGCATCCCACAAATAACACAGATAAGAACAACAAGCGGGAAAAATCCTCTTCATTCCATTCCACCTTTTCAACACTGGGTTGGATGAGATGACACAATATAGTCAAGTGACCTATGTTACCAGGCTAATGTCTGCCTTAGGACCTACTAGTATTCTGTCTTGAGGCCAATCCCTATAAAGTTGTGGAGGCCAAGAAAAATCAAGGCCATTCCACCTCAAGTTTAGTGTTAACACAAGTACAGCCATCCCAGGCCCCTGAGAATAAGAGCTGACATTTACCTTACTTCAGTTACAGGAAGAAAACAGTTTACAGCTTAACATCCTAGAAAGCCCCATATTAGAATAAGAGCAGAGCCCAAGCCTAGGGCAGGAAGCCCCTATTAGAATAAGAACAGAGCTCAATGCCCTTGAAAACCCCATATCAAAATGTAAACAGAACTTGAGAAATTCCTCCACCCCTTCAGAAAATCCCCTAGACCAGCCTATAAAAAAACCAGCTGTAACCCACTTCAGGGTCCAAGTCCCTGCTCCACTGTGTCGGGTATACGTGGACCCAAGCTCGAGCTTGTAAATAAACCCTCGTTTGTTTGCATTGGTGTCGGCTCCTTGGTGGCTTCTTGGATTCGCAATCTTGGGCACAACAAAGTGTCACATCATGCATAAACAATCAAACTTCCAAGATCAATGGTTTGCTTCAGACTTTAGTTGTTTTTACCTGTTATATTATCATCTGTATTTTCTTCACTTGATATGCTGCAATCTATCTCTGCAGGTTTCAAATATAAGGAGTTCTTATTTTTCATTAGGATTTCTTCACCATCATTTATTTCCATATGCAAAGATCCATTTTCACAACTGTTTAACTCCATTTGCCTGAAAATATTTTGTAAGGAAAAGCCAAAACATCCAATTATTTGGTCTTAAATAAATTGTCTGGGTAGCTCTTATTCTGAGAAAGGGGGGAAGGGTTCAGTGATTAAAAACCAGTACTGCTGAATCAGCCAAACCTCAGCCTTCTGCCTCCTAGACAAGTTTCTGATGATGAGACAGGCTTGTCTGAAATCAAAGAGCCATTCCTGGTTTCTCAAAGAACTCAGGTGACTCAAGCTTCCTGCTCCCCACCAGCAGGTCTCTGGTTTTCAATCAGCTTTCTAAATGTAAATGTAAATGTAAATATAAACATTTAACACTTTTCTCACTTTCCTCAGCTTCTCCCTGGGAAGTTTGTTCTCTCTCCAGTTCTCAAAATCATTGGCCACTCTTACAAGTTTGCCTAGCAGTTAACTGTCTAGAAGCTACATGCTGTGGTGAGGGGAGAATATTCCCCACAAAATAGGACTGACAGAAAAAACCTAGGAGGATATAGGATACATCCTGAGAATTTGCTGCCCTTCGGGATAACAGAAAAGGCTACTTAACATGCAAGCAGAACAGTTAATTCTATGACAAGTTCAATCAAAACATCTTATTATAAGTGATTAAATCCAACTAAATTAGAACAAAAATATTTTCTTCTAATAAACACAAAAGGGTCCAAGCTTTATGGTGACTCCAGGAAAAGCATTTATTTTCTAAAGCAGTGTCATATTTCAACTTAGCAATTAAAAATGTAGGTGTTTTGGGGCATCTGGCTACCTCAATTGGTGGAACATAGGACTCTTGATTTCAGAGTTGTAAATTCGAGTCCCATGGCTATACTTAAAAATGTGTTTGGTAAGGAAATGTCATGAGAAAAAACTCTACAATTTTTTCTAGTAGAAATATTTAGAACAAGATAAAAATGTTAACCAAATTGGAACAATCTTTGTGCTAAAGCAAACAACAGTATACAAAGAGATGAAATGTGAAGTAATGATTTGAAAGTACAAATATATGGAGTACATCAAAATACAGGAATGCTTATGTAAAATAATAACTGAATAAAGATCCCAAAAATAGGAACACAACTATACACATGTGTACTTTTTTCTAAAATTGAAGGAGCGGGCAGCCCTGGTGGCACAGTGGTTTAGCGTCGCCTGCAGCCTGGGGTGTGATCCTGGGGACCCGGGATCGAGTCCCACATCAGGCTTCCTGCATGGAGCCTGCTTCTCCCTTGGCCTGTGTCTCTGCCTCTCTCTTCGCTCTCTCTGAATGAATGAATAAATAAATCTTAAAAAAAATAAAATAAATAAATAAATAAATAAATAAATAAATAAATAAATAAAATTGAAGGAGCAATTAGAGGAAGAAAACAGTTTAGATTTTGGTATTAAATTTGTTTGTTTTCAACCTGGAAGGCTACTTAAGATTTTTATTTTTAAGTAAAACAAAATAGTACTGTCTTTTCTGGATAAAAGCACATTTAAGTCAATGCCTCTCCACAAGAGAGGAGGTTCCTTAGCACACTAGACAGATGAAAAGTCACTAAATGTGGTGGGCAGATCCATCCATACCTGAGGGAAAATGCAAACATCTTCCTGGGTAGTCTGTGCTAAATGAAAGGTCTGCATTGCTTCAAGCTCACCCCAAAGAGGAAAATCAGTTACTGTTTCTTTCTGGTATCATCTCAAATCATGATAAAAATATTCCTATTTTTTAAAAAATTGATAATAAAAAATTATTTATCTTTAGAAAGAAGAAAAACCAAGAGTTACTGTACCTTTCCAATGAATTATGAATCGGTATAATAGGATGTTTCATCTTTAAAAGAAGCAAAAAAATGAAAGCTTCATGTTAAACTTCACAGAGCATATTTAGAATTTCATCACATATAAAAGTGGTAAATATTACTGTAACATAACTGCCCCAACAGGAACAATTTTAGACCCTCCCAAAAGAAGGGAGTCAATGATCTCAACCAGTCCTTTGTGTTTTTTCAAATAAGTGTACCCGCATTTCTAAGGAAAAGGAAGATTGGTTTTTTGAAGAATCTAATTATCACAACCAAACCCTTAGTGGTTGGCTTTCTCATTAGTTTTGTTCAGTAAAGATTATAATGCAGCATCGTTTCAAACACTAAAAGTATAAACAGTACGTATGAAGGTTCCTACACTTAAGGTAATTTTAATATAGAGTAATGCTATAATAGGGGTGTCCATAGAGGAGGAGCTCCTATAGCCCAACTTAGGGATTCAGGGAAGGACAGATTAAATATTGAAGGATGGGGAAGTGCTAATCAGGAGAAGATAAGTGAGAACAGCATTCTTGGCACTGGGAAATGGTGCAGAGATGTCAGGGGAGCTATATGCAGTTAGTATGTTCAGCCAGCTAAGGACAGAGAAAGAAACTGTGGGTGTGGGAATGGATTAAGAAGTTCTGACTTTAACCTTTGGCAATGAGGGAGGCACTGAGGGGTTTAGGTAAAGTGGTCCAGTTTATACTTCATGAATAAAATACCATTTGCTGTCTGGAAGGGTTAGGCTGAAAGTAACCAGTTAGAAGGCAACCACAAATCTTGGCAAGACTCGCTGGACAAGGAAGCTGAAAAGAGGCTAGCTATATCAGAGACAGGTTTAGGTGGTAAAACTGCTAAAAATAAATGGATACAGAGGACCGAGGGCAGAAATATGTAAGTGGACATAAAGGGAAAGCCACTAAAAAATGTCTTTCTAGTCATGAAAGGGGGATGGATAATATGGTTCACTACATCACTTCTTAACTCTGTAGCTTTTCATTATGTCCTGCTGCCCCCAACGTGAACTGACTTTTACCTTGCTGGACTTGAGCATGGCCAGCTGTGGTGAGCCGGGGGGAGTACGATAGAGTAGTTCAGAGGTGAAGGCTGCATTTGCAATCTGCATGCATTCTTCCAAAGTCTTCAGAAAAGTATTGCAGGTTGATTTCAGCAGAGTTCCCACATCAATTCCTTCCTACAAAACAAGAGTAGATGACTTACTTTGCCAAAGAAAAGGCTCAATTGTGGAATGTCCTCAGAGGTTTTTATCACAATGTAGTAATAATGTACCCACCTATTTTGCTGGACAAATATGTCCATCATTTACAAAAGAAAAAGAGTCCACTTTATCTATTAACCCTATACAAGCCTCAATCTGACCTTTCACATTCTCCCCACACTGTTCCAGCTGGAGACAACAACTTCTTTCAGTTGAACAGTATTATATGCTAGCACTGTGCCAGGTGCTGGGCACAGAGCCCTCAGGGAGTTTCCAGTCCATGAGGGGTGGCAGGCCATGAAATAGGAAATCACATAACTAAGGACCAGTGTAATCAATGGAAAAATGTCTCCTATTGCCTGAGTAAAAATGAGGTTCTAGAATAGAAGCGTTAGAAACCATAAATCATTCATTGTTTGCTTTCAGGATAGGGTTTTTGACTTTTGGTACAGATGAGTTTGAGAGTTCTTAGCAACTGGAATCCTTTTGAATATCTGATCACTTTAACCCCTAGTTATTTTACTTGTTCAGGATGTTTTTCCTCTGAATACTGATATTAATAAGTTGTTTAGGAAACTGAGGCCATACCCTGACTAGAGAGTACAATAAACACATCTTAATTGTATAAAAGCAGCAGACTGTGCCCAAGGTGGAGTCGCTCATGCTAATCCTCACATCAAAACCAAAAACTTCAATTTCTATGCCTCGTTGTCCCAGAAAAGGCAGGCCTAGGTCAACAAATTGGCACAAGTTACCTGATCCAGCTCCATGACTTCTCTTCACTCCACATGAAGAAAGCAACCCTGTTTTAATCAATCAATAAATGCCCAGCAGAATTTCCTTGTTCCTGCTCACTTTGGTCTATAAAAATCTCTAACCTTTTAAGGCTTTTCAGAGCTCCTTTCTATCTGCCAGATGAGATGTTGCCTGATAAACGAGTTGCTGAATAAAGCCAGTAAGATTTTTTAAATGTACTCAGTTGAATTTTTCTCTTAAGAGTGGCCTCTATATTTTCTTCAATTTTGTATTTCTAACAAGCTAGCAGGTGATGTTACTGGTTGTGGACTACTAGGATTCTGACAACAATTATGTGTGGGTTTTCCCCACACCACCAAGCAATTCTCTGACACCAGCTAGGTGATCTAAATTCAACTAAATTCTGACCCTATCTACCTGAAATTGGTGTCAGATCTCACAGGGCAGCTCCCCATTCCTCACTTCAGACACCAATGGCAAGTCCAGGTTGTCACTTGTGCTTCTGACTGATCTGCTACAGATTGGAGGTTCTAACCCCCTCCTTTTGATTAATTTGCTAGAGCTGCTCAAAGATCTCAGAGAAACATTTTACTAGTTACTAGACTGCCAGTTTATTCTAAAAGGATACAACCCAGAAACAGATGTATAGGGCAAGGCATCTGGGAACCGCTCAGGACTTCCATGCTCTCTGACCACACCACTTTTCCTGAATCTCCATTTGTTCTCAGGAGCTCTCCAAACCCTGTTCTTACATTGCACAGACATGACTGACAAAATCATCTGCCGCTGGGATTAAACTCAATCTTCAGCCTCCTTCCCTTCCCAGGAGATGAGGGTGGGTGGATGCTGGGTGGCTCTAATCACATGGTTGGGTCCTGGGTCAACCAGCCTCCCATCCTTAGGCACCTTCTTAAAGTCACCTCATTAACATAACAAGAGACAACGCTATCATTCTCATCACAGGAAATTCCAAGGGTTTCAGGAGCTCTGCCAAACATATTTCTTATGGAGACCAAATATATATTTCTTATTATAAATCACAATATCACAGCCACAGTTTCATTAGCAAGTTCTCAAGGCACTCTAAACATCTTGAATAAAAAAATTGCTGGGTTCACATTTTTCCTTTGCATTAGACCAGGGCTTCTGTACCTTGGCACGACTAACATGGGGGGCTAATTTTTGGAGTGGGAGAAGTAGGTGGGAGAGCTCTCCTGCCTACTGCAGGACAAGAAGTACCATTCTAACCTACATACAGTAGATGTCAGTAGCACTCCTCCAACCCAACCGCGACAAACAAATATGTCTCCAAACACTGCCAAACATCTCCTGAGGGGCAAAACCAGAGGCTCTGGGCTGAGAATCACTGCTCTGAACCCTAAAAATCCCAAGAATAGGGCTGAAATGTTTTTTTGGTATCCCTCTCCTCCCTGCTCCCAGGCAACTGCTGAATGAATAAGACAGCCAAAAAGGCAGTGAATGAAAGCGAGTTAAATCACCCTTATTAGAAAAACTGAAAATACATATACCACTAATAGTATAATGTTCTTCTACCAAAACCATTAACTAGGATCTGTAGATTCTTCATTTACTAGCCACTGTTATTCAGATTATAGCTATTCTAATAGACCAGAGGCTCTCTCTGGGTAGTGTGAGCCATTCAATACATAACACCAGATAGACCTTTTATTACATGTTTTAGGACGAATGAATGACAACTTTATTAATAAACATTAAAAATTGCAATCCTTACTGATAATGGGCAGAAAAAAAGGCTTGTCTCCATCTTTGAAAGAGCTAGCCTATACTAAAGCACAAATACTATGTCACCAATAAAATTCTGTCATAGAGGTGCCTGGCTGACTTGGTCCATAGAGCGTGTAACTCTTGATCTCGGGGTGGTGAGTTCAAGCCCTATGTTGGATGTAGAACTTAGTTAAAAAAAATAAATAAATACGGACGCCTGAGTGGCTCCGTGGTTGCGCGTCTGCCTTTAGATTAGGGTTTGATCCTGGAGTCTCAGCATCAAGTCCCACATCGGGCTTCCTGCATGGAGCCTGCTTCTCCCTCTGCCTGTGTCTCTGCCTCTCTTTCTCTGGGTCTGTCATGAATAAATAAATAAAATCTTTAAAATAAATAAATAAATAATAAAATCTTACTACAGTCTCATCAAAGATGACAGATACACATTATTGATAGACATGATGCTGACATGCTAGTAGCCATACCTCTAGAAGTAGCTGTGCTAGACAGGTAAGGCTGTATTTACAAAGTGATGCAAACTGGGAAGAAACAAATTTTAGTACATCAGCACCAATGTTAAAGGTTCCAAATGTTATCAACTAATTAATCCTGAATTCATTCCATGAAAGAAAATTATATGCTTCCATATGCTGACATGCACACACTTTTTCTCTTCACTGAATTTTGTTAACTTTCTCCTCCAAATAAAATCTTTAAAAAAAAAAAAAGGGGGCAGCCCCGGTGGCACAGCGGTTTAGTGCCACCTGCGGCCCAGGGTGTGATCCTGGAGACCTGGGATCGAGTCCCACATCGGGCTCCCTGCATGGTGCCTGCTTCTCCCTCTGCCTGTGTCGCTGCCTCTCTCTCTCTAGCTGTATCTCTATGAATAAATAAATAAAATCTTTAAAAAAAAAAACAACTTTCTCCTCCAAAAAATAGTAAATGCTAAAATAGGGACTGTGTGAGAGTAAGCATTACCTGTAAGCAACACCTGGTGCTACTTCTCCTGTGGCTAAGACAAATATTTTACCTCAGAATTGGACACACCGGTTGTGGTTACTTCTTTTGTTTTATCTACTTGCTGAACAAGGAGGTCACAGTAGAGTCTTAGTTCCGACATTTTGGTTTTCAAGTTTTCAGTGTTTTCAGCAAACTCTAAATAACAAAATGAGGATAACGTAATTACAAGATGAAGGAACTATTCACTGGTTAGCATACCATAGAGTGCAATATATAACCTACATCTAAAGTCAGATGTTTATGGTATGAGTTATAGATAAGATACACATGAAGATATGTGGGCAAGAAAAACAAAAAGAGATTTCTAGTCTTTTTAATCTATGTTATTTCTTGGGCCAACATACTGAATGATAGCCAGTGTAGGAAGAAAGATACAGCATACTTTTCAACTCCTCATGTCAAAACTGATTGCAGAGGGACACCCGGGTGGCTCAGCAGTTGAGCATCTGTCTTGAGCTCAGGGTGTGACCCTAGTCCAGGGTTCGAGTCCCGCATCAGGCTCCCTATGGGGAGCCTGCTTCTCCCTCTGCCTGTGTCTCTGCATCTGTCTGAGACTCTCATGAATAAATGGATAGAATCTTTAAAAAAAAAAAAAAAAAACTGGGAACAGAGTCAAGGGTTCTGAGTTTTGGTTTCATTGGCTGCACAGTTTTCCCTATCTATAAAATGGGGTCATAGCAATCTACCTCCTAACAGTACTCAAAACTGGGAAACTGTTCTGTAACGTGCAATTACTACTAATAAGATGGCTTGTTAATTCACAGAACTCGTCCAGCATGCCACCCATCAAGGCTAAGAGCACCCTTCTGTGCACCTGCTGCTCCCTCATTAGCACAGTGCTCCAGCTACTCTGGCGCTGAGGGCTCATTATCACTTGTTTTTTTTTCCCCCATGAAAAAGCTGTACATTAAAAAAAAAAAAAAAGCTGTACATTATAACTTGATCTGACAGTGTCTAGAATATGCTCCCAATTTGGCATTCAAAAACAACCAAGGAAGAGGCCATTTTCCTTGTCTACTTGAAGAGGTAAACACATCTGCCACACTTGTCATAAGAAAGAGGCCCCTGTCTCCCACTAATCTCTTCAGGTATACATATGGGGTAAAGGGCTGGGAAGGTGGCATTAGGTCTCAGACAGTAAGCCCTGGCACTCTTCCCCCAGTCTGCATAGAGTTATGCCAGGGTTCTCAGGAGACTTAATGATGTTGAATTAATGAGCATTAAGCAGTAGCAACCTGACAATTAGGTATCCATCCCAGGGAAAGGGAGGGGGAGGTGGGGTGTTACTGGAGAAAATACCCTGATCCAAGGCTTCTTTACCAAAGGTCAACTTTGTGCCAGACTGGGTACTAAACAGGTTCATATCATTACTAATACTCATGGCAATCCTTCTAATGTAGGTTGTTACCTTTTTTAAAAATATGAGGAAGCAAAAAAAAAAAAAAATGAGGAAGCTGAGGATCAGAGAGATTAAATGACCTATGCCAAGGTCAAAAAGCCAGTAATCTACAAAGCCATAATTTGAATCCAGTTGTATCTGGCTTCAAAGCCCGTGCTCTCTCTATTGTGATATGCTAAGAGAGGAGTTAATAAATACACACTGTCCTTGAAATTTCAGGGGTATATGGTATGTGAAGGACACAAAAAACTGCCTAGGTGGTCAGAGGCAAGATAACAAATATGGGAACCCAAAGAGGTCAGTGGGTGATTCCCAAGGATCCGAGATCAGAGGACAATTGATACTTGCCTTTTTCCTTCTGGGTCCTACTGTCTGTCAGGCAAGCCTTGGCTGACCCCAGGGCTACCAGCCACCGCTGTCTCTCAGCCACACTTCTGGCCTTCAAGTAGAAATACTGCTCCCCAGGGATTATCAGGTCCATGCGTGTGTTATCTACAGAATGAACTGGGAGCAAGGCAGAGGGAGGTCAGAAACCTAGAAGAGTGCAATCTGGGTAGCCTCCACTCCACCCAAATTCTGGAGCTCAACTGGTGCCAGTCACTGAAGGCTTCTTCCAAGGGAGGATGCTAGCTCTTACCACCTTCCCTAGTTTATTTATCTCTTCCTGAATGCCTCTGTTGATGAAGAAGAAAAACCCTAGCTGGCTCCAAGGTATCACCAAGACTAAAAAAGAAGCACTCAATTCTCCTTACTGGAATAGATACAGAATCTCTCTTTTGGCTTGTGTGTGTAAAGTATGCTGCTCTGAGGCCAAAAAAGCTTGCATGCCAACAAGGGTACGCCTCTGTATCTTCTTGGGTTTACTGGAAAGCAATCAAGAACACAATATTTTTCCTTTTCTACTGTCCTTCACAAGTTATATCAAAAGTGTGAGAATTTCCTCTGAGATCTTTGGAAGAAGAAATAAGGAAACTACATTCTCCTTCACCCCCTACCCTGCTGTAAAATACCCTTCTAATCTGTTTCTCTACTAATCTTGTTTCGGAGCCATATCTTCTCAGCATGTCTTAAGATGTCCCCAAACTAAGAAGTAAAAGCTATTTGCAAGTCTTTATGTGTTTGCTTGTTTTAAGTATACAGTGGTGATAAGAAGGTGTATGTGTGTGTGTGTCCTGATTTAAACATAGAAGTGTTTGATGCTGCAGTAAAAAGACTTAAATAAGCTTTGCACATAGTTGCCCTGGCTTCAGGTGAGCAAGGGACTAAAAAATGGGCACTAAATGTGTGGTGAAACACACTGTTCTCATTTATTTTGACTACCTCTTCAACAACCTCCTCGTAAAAATTGGTTGCAGTTTTAGGTCTTATTTGCAAGGCTTTCTTTTGGGACATAACACTATGTATATCTTTGTATCATAGGAACAGCAGAGATAGGCACAGAGAGGCCAGTGGGTTTTTTTTAATTTTATGGGGGAGACAGAAAGAAAAAGAAAACCTGCAAATCTCTTGGTTCTTACCTTGAATTTCACAGACCGCCATTTGGATACTCCCTTTGCAACCTTTCCAGGCATCTTCAGGAGAATCATAATAGGATAATATACCCCCACAGAGTAGGAACCATCTAGGCTGCCAACCTGCAAATAGAAGCAAGAACATGGTCTCAATTACTGCCCGCATTGGAGGTGTCTCCCAGTACACAGGAATGGGACCTGACAAAGGTGGCTGGGTCCCAGCTCCAAGGAGCTTATATTCCAGGAAAAGAAGGGAAAGAAGTAGGTTAGTAAATACTGTATGCATGATCATTTTTAAAACTAAAATCAAACACCCACAGGGCCATATATTTTTAGTCACATAATGTATAGAAGAAGTCTGCAAGGATCAGGGACATAGTGATGATTCTCTAGTTAAGAGGAAGACTAATGATTTTTATTCCCTTTTCCTTTCATATAGTACTAGTGATTTTTGGTTTTTAATTTTTTTAAGGTAAAAGATTATGGTTTCCTGAACATTATCACAAACCTGATCTTCTTTCCTCTGGTTAAGAAAAATTATCCCAACTTAGAAATGAGGCAGAAGATTATACTGTTCTGAAAGAGGACTTTAACCACCTCCATTTTGACCTCTGTCTGTACTTTCTAAGTGATTAAGTTCTTCTTTCTAGCTTATCTCTTAATTCAGGCAAAAGACATCACAGCCAAAGGATCTCCTGATAGGAAGTGAAACAACTCCCTCAAGCCTTAACGCTCCCTGACTTCTGCAAGATCCTGCACAAATGACCCCAAGACAGTGATGAGCCTGACCTTTACTGCCCAGCACATGTACCCACTGACCTTTGTCCCACATTCTCTTTATCTAAATCTGGGAGTATTTTGAACACTTTGGAGACAGTCTTTGAGACTTTAGTCTGCCAACTTCTTGGTGTTGGTCTCACTGAAATACCTTATTTTGTTTCACGACCCCTCATCTGTCTTTGGATTCTGTCAGCAGCGAGAGGCTGAACCTGGTCTGTTTGGGTACCCTAGAGCTAGGTGCTTGTGGACCTCTGTGCCTTGGCTATAGCCCTTTTGATGTCAAAGATCATTCCAGAGTGCTAATAAGCCTGTGCAGGGGCATATGAACCCTAGATAAAGAGAACTTTCATTTACTATTTAAAATTGATCCACGGAAATAAAATAATCTTAAAACACTGAAAGGCTAACTACTTTTACTTTGGAGAATTTCAGGGACAAACCATATTTGGTTGAAATATACATCTTATCTAGTGCTCTTACCCAATCTATATTCTAGACAAACCAAACTTATTTTCTGTATTCTTGCTTCTGGGCTTTTGCCTAAGCTGAATCTTCTTTCTAAAATGTCATCTCTAACTATTTCTGCATAAAGTTTCGTCAATGTCCTCAGTTGGATATATATTTTTCTATCTCTGAAATGCTAGAGCCCTTTAAGGACACATTTTTCTCATGAAACTCGTCTGTGGCTGAGGCAGACAGAGAGAAGGCCAGGAGGAGCTTTGAGCAGAGCCCTAGGGGCTGCTTTGATACAGAGGTCTGATGCCTTATTCACACAAACCAAGAAGAGCTGTGCTTCAGTCTGGGGCAGAAAGCAGGAAAAAACCAATGTTCCAGCTCAGGCAGGCAGGAGGAGTTCCCTATTTCTTAGTCTTTTTATTCTATTTAGGTCTTTGATTGATTGGATAAGATTCATATTAGGGAAGGGCAATCTACTTTACTCAGTCTACCAATTCAAATGTCAATCCAGAAACACCCTCACAGATACACCCAGAAAGATGTGTGGCCAAATGTCTAGGCACCCCATGGCCCAGGCAAACTGACACGTAATATTAATCATCACACACCATCAATTTTAAGATATATCATTATTTTAGGTAACACAAGAAAAAAAAAATACCTGCCCGTTAAGCAATGACACAGTACTGATTCTAAGATGCTTTCTGATTTGTTGTTGAAATGTGAAAAAAATCTACAAATTGAAAAAATGTGGCCCTAAATAGCTTTATCTTATAGTAATCTGAAAAAAGTTAAACACCTCCCCCATCACACAAACACACACACAAAGCACAGCTGCAGTTAAGTTTTGAAAGTAGCTGGTAAACTGTAATAACAACTGAAACACCACTTTCCCTGTAATAGGATCTACATTTACCTCGAAGTATATACTAAGGGAAGTTCTATATATTGTTATTTTACCCTATAGTTTGTAACTACAAAAATCATAACCAAGAATAACTTTTCTTTAAACCATAAAGTTACTGGATTTTCAGAAGGTACATTACGAGGCCACAGAGGTCTGTCTCATTCCTATTAGGTGAAATTTATAGGCAGAGCAATGGAGAGTCTAGAGGGGACTGGAACACACTGCTCTTCAATGATGTCCAGTCCTCAGAAGCTCAGATACAGCACAGAAATAACTATGAGAAAAGAGGCAAGAATGAAGAGGGCATTAATCCATTTCTTGTTTTAACTTATCTGCAGTTACCGTGACTAATGTGATACTGAATTTTATGTATCAACTTGATAGGCTAAGCGATGCCCAGATAGCAAGTAAAATGGTATTTCTAGGTATGTCAGTGGGGGTGTCTCTGGCAGAGATTAGCATTTGAATTAAGACTGCCCTCACCATTACAAGTGAGCGTCACCCAATCTCCTGAGACCCTCAGTAGAACAAAAGGCAGAGGAATGGAGAATTTATTCTCTCAGAGGGAGACAGCCATCTTCTTTAGGTTTAGAACACTGGTGCTCATGGTTCTCTGGACTGGAGAACCAGGCACAGTATTTACCCCATCCATCTCTCCAATTCTTAGGCCTTTGAACTCAGACCAACTGCATCATCAGCTTTCCTGGTTCTCCAGCTCACCAATAGAAGATCATGGACTTGGGCAGCCCCGGTGGCCCAGTGGTTTAGCACCGCCTGCAGCCCGGGGTGTGATCCTGGGGACCCTGGATCGTGTCCCACGTCAGGCTCCCTGCATGGAGCCTGCTTCTCCCTCTGCCTGTGCCTCTGCCCCCCCCCCCCATGTCTCTATGAATAAATAAATAAAATCTTAAAAAAAAAAAAAGATCACGGACTTCTCAGTCTCCCTAACTGCATAAGCCAATTCTTATAATAAATCCCTTCATATGTTATATATACAAACACACACACACACACACACACACATATATGTAATACATATACAGTTCTGTATACTATTGGGTCTATTTTTCTAGAGAGCCCTTAATAACACACTTGGAAATGATAAAATATTCAAGGAAACAAAAGAGCAGATGAAAACTGTGGGTGTAACCAGTCCCTGCTCCATTAGATTACCATTAATCTTCCTGTCCAACCCCCACTCTTTTCTTGGCCCTTCTCTATTGGAGATGGAATGTGGTGTGAGCAGAGAAAAGTTTTAGCTTATATAAGCTACCCCTGCCAGGGATGGGGTAGGGAAATAAAACTACTTAAATACCAATTTCACATACTTTGCATTATTCTGGAATATTTTACCACAGAAGGTGCGGTGGACATTTATTTTTGGTAACCTGACATCCACCCTCTACATTTCTGTTACTGAAAATCTCCTCCATACTCTTTCCATGTAGTTGGGTGGGGCTGACCAGCTGGGGGGGGGGGGCATGTGATTCAGGCTTAAATGGGAGCTTCACATCCCCTGTCTTCAATGATACACTTCACAACAGGCAAGTGACCCAACCAAAGATGATCTTGGGACTGTTGCTAGGTCTGGAGAAAGGTGGAAATAAATGGAGACTCTTTTTTTCTTTGGACTGGAAGATGTTTGCCTGGAGCTGCCAGCAGTCATTCTGCCATCACACGGGACCTAAACATGATTCACACATAAAGGGAATGGGTGTGGGAGGACTTCAGGGAGGCAGGGGAAAGGAAGAAAATCTAGATGACAGTTGTGTGGTTTTTCTTTTCTTTTTTTTTTTTTAAGATTTTATTTATTTATTCACGAGAGACACACACAGAGAGAGAGGCAGAGACACAGGCAGAGGGAGAAGCAGGCTCCATGCAGGGAGCCGGACGTGGGACTCAATCCCGGGTCTCCAGGATCACGCCCTGGGCTGAAGGTGGCACTAAACCGCTGAGCCACCTGGGCTGCCCAAGATGACAGTTTTTAACACCACAATGAGACCATGTTATAGCCCTAGATAAGATACCCACTGAACTTTACAGTTAAGTGGGCTAAAAAAAGGTGAGGCAATAATTATACATATATATATTTTTTAACTTAATGTCTGAGTTAGGTTTTTTTCCCTAAATAAAAGATTAATGAAGTATCACATGATCAATTCGCTAATTGTAGAAAAAGCAAAAGCACTTGACAAAATCTAACACCTTTTGGTGTAAAAATTCTCAACCAACTGGGAATATAAGGGAAACTCTGATAAATGTGCACACACAAAAAAGCCACAAAAAACCAAACCAACAACAACCCACAACTAATATACTTAATGACAAAAGACTGGATGCTTTTCCCCTGAGACAACATAAGGATGCTTCCTCTTGCCACTTCTATTCAACATTTTATTGGAGGTTTTACTCAGGGCAATTAGGGGTACAAAATGAAATAAAAGGTATCCAGATTGGAAAGGAGGAAGCAAATCTACCTTTATTTGCAGACACCCTCTTGTGTATTTCAAAACAAAATAAAACAAAAACCTAAGGAGCCCAATAAAAAAGACTATTAGAATTACCAGATTTGGCAAGGTTGAAAGAAGACCACTCTCCAGATATCCATTGCATTTCTATACAGTTGCAATGAACTGAAAATGAAATTAAGGACACAATTTCTTTTATAACAACATCAAAGAGAATAAGATACTTAGGAACAGATTCAATAAAAGAAATATAAAACTTAAACTCTGAAAATTATAAAACATTCAAAGAAATTAAAGATTTGAAGATCATTCAGCTTGTTCTTTTCTCAGTGCAATGTCTTTCTATATTTAATTGACAGCAGCTGTTTGCAAAATTCACTTTTTTCAGCTAATTGTTGAATAGTATGTATTTTTTCAATAAGCATAATTTTCTTGGAAAAAATGTACATATATGTGGATCTAAAATAGCATAGCTCTTGTTAATTTATATTATATTTTCTTCCTTTTTTATT